GGTTGAGTTAGTATATCTTCTGTTGACTTTTTTTAGACCCTGGCTTCTACGAGCCTGAGCAGATCATAGTGATACGCCCATGTTTTATTGTGTACTATAATGCAACCGAGAAAGTTAGTCGGAATCGGTTCACTTTCTTTCAATATCTCCTGACAACGCTCCGCTTGGCTAGCTTGTTGAAGTGGGATCAAGAATTTCGGTACTCAACGTTTGTAGATCTTGCACATGACCAAGTGATTATGAGAGATCACTTGGTCATGTGCGAGACCAGTATACGTTGGGTACCAAAATTCTTGACCCGACTTAAACGAGCTAGCCGATTGGAGAGCTGTCAGGAGTGACTGAAAGAAAGTGAACCGATCCCAACCAACTTTCTCGACTGCATCGTAGCACACAATGAAACATGGATATATCACTAAGATCTGCTTAGCCTCCTAGAAGCCAGGGTCTAAAAAAGTCAACAGAAGATATACTAACTCAACCCTATCATCAGACAAGGTCATGCTGGCCATTTTTTGGGACAAAAACGGCGCGTTTCTCGTCAACTACCTGACTCATAGGTAGACAATCAATGGATCTTATTATGCATCACTCATCGAGCAGCTCTCTTAAAGAAGTATCATAGCAAGATCAGTGATCGAGTACTACTTCTTCGGGACAACGCGTCCATTCACAAGAGCAACACTATGCAGACTGTTATTCATCAGATGGGCTTCGTCGAACTGAATGATCCAACTTATTCTTTGGATATTTCATCTAGTGGTTAGCACATATTCTAACATTTGAAGAAATTTCTTCGTATCAAGAGTTTTGATTCTGATGACGAAGTGATAATGAATGTTGAAGGCTACTTGAGTAATTTTGTTTCGAAGGTTTTTTTTTAATGACATCCATAGTTTGCGTGATCACTGGCAACATGTGGCTGCTAGCATATGTCAGTACATTCAATAAATGCAGCAGTTGTTATTCTACGATTTCATAGTACATGAGTTGCACAGATTTCCCGGATAATCTGATATTTTGTGTTGTCTTGTTTTGGTTTCATACTCATAATTCAGTTATATTTAATGTCTAATATAAAGTCAAGGGCTGTGTACACTTTTAACCAACAGAATTCTATGCTTTTGAGATGCTCATACTTGAAAAAAGAAAACAATAGAGAATGAGATATTATTAATTAAAATAGATAATAATAAATATTCTCTGGATTATTTTTATTTTGACAAAACCAATTATTAATACTAGAAAACATCCATTACTGATCGTCTACGAAATATATGCTCTTTTAATAACAAATTCATATACTATATATAAAGTGAAACATCTATTAATGAGCACCTCCCATTTTGAACAAGGTTTCGGTCCTACGAAACAACTTTTGCTGGAAATACATTTGCTATATGTGAGTAACTTCCTACTCTGAACTTGAACATTGTTTTTATAGCCCCGATTGTTATTTTAACCTCTTTTAAATGAAAACAAGTGCACTTTTTTCTCCGTCTCCTCTTCATCATTTCTGACAAATGCATTGAACCTGCTGTTTATTGTTTGTTATAAATTTATATGCCAAGAAAAATAATTACATCACGATGTGAATTAGCTTAAAATTCAGATATTTCACTGGGTTCTGTATCCGATACTTTTAAAACGAAAAAAATAATACTTAAATGATAATCAAGCGAATGAAAATTTAAAATTTTAACGTAATAAAACTTAATGATTATATATTAGAACGAATTATACAGTAACGTTAATCAAATTCACATTTATTGAGAATGAAGTAACAATACAAGACTTTGTGAAACAAAGCAAAATTTCGTATTCTATTGTAATTGTTTTGGATTTATGAACATTTAAATGAAGGACGATAAACAATACAGAGAATGGCCTCTGATTACTTCAAGAATAGTCGAGAACCTTATATTCAGAAACTTTTCTATATTTCAAAGTAAAATATATAACATCTCTCATAGATGAACACTTTTCAAAAGTTCCGACCATATTCATTTCAGAGAGGTTTTTACTGTAAACAGAATAGAAAAAAACATATTTCCTTTTTGTTTTTTATTTTAATATTATTTCTAGTATGTCGAAGTATAAGAATATAATAAGAGCTTTTATTTTGAGGGCAACACATGTGCGACATTGTATCTACATCACATTGAGATTGTTCTCTTTTGTCAACCATTCAGCATTATAACCGAGTTCCAATAAATATTCATTGGCTAACTAAACCATGACTACAAAGAAATGAAGTATAATTAATTAAATTCACTTGTGATATTCTTCGCAGTTCAAATTGTAAAAAAATGTCAACATATAATAATGTTTTGGGAAATTTTCTCTCTCATTCGAATGATTCAAGTGATCTTGATAATAATGATGATGCAGATTCAGTTTCGGAACCTGAATTTGAAATCAACAATCATTGTAAGTTTTCACAAGCCCACGTCATCGACGAGCGAAGTCTAATTATTGAATCACTACTAAGTAAGTCGTAGAAATATTTGTATCTATACATACGTACACATAATCAAGGCTCTTTTTCTCTTTTTTAAATCACTTTCCCTTAAAATAAACATACGCTTCATAATTATATTTTTTAATTTTGTGCGTAGTAAAATTTTTTCGATGGTCGCATCAAGGATATGATCAAATATAAATTCATACAATAATATGTGTACAATACATTATACTTCATTTCGTACAAAAAAGAAAAAGAAAAAAAGAATGTAAATTACATCAGAAGGATCGTCTATTTCTATTTTGACTATAGGGCTTTTTTCTCTTTTTTTTCTTTTTCTTGTATTTTGTTACTCGGTTGCCGTGCAGTTTTGATGATCTTCACCATTCTCTTTAGTTTGTTCGTTCTTTTAATTTTTTGCAACAGTTTCTTCACTCCGACAGTCGGTTTTATTTGTTCCTTAACATACAAAGAATAGCAAATTGAAATATGATTTTGTGACTGACTAATTGAAATTGTATATTCGAATAGAAACGTGAGAAGAAAAAATCAAAGAATCGTTGTAAAAGGTTAATTTAAAGATTGAAATAAGCTTATTTATCAACGTACGATGACAACACCGTCAAAATCAGTTGGTGTGTTAATCTTTTCTTTTTTCTTTTAAACGATCGAGTTTTTTCATTTAATTATTAATACTATATTATTGCGTTATTATAATGATTTATATAATCAATTAGGTGAAAGACGCGGTTCAATATCGTTGGCTAGTAGTGAAACTTCACTATTATCAGTTCCTGGTTCAACTCGTACACGTCGAATGTCAACAACAAAAGTAATTGATCAACGTCCAAAACATTTAATGTTAGGTGATTTCGAATTGGCTAATGTTGTGTAAGTAGAAAAGAATTAATCTAAGAACATTCGCAAGTGAAATATAATCTATCTAATTCTAGAGATTGTGAAGAATACGTACTATGTTGTAAATACAGTCCTATAGGAGATGTATTTGCTGTTGGCTTAGGTAATGGTACAATTAGAGTAAGTTTCAAGAATGTTGAATATTGATCTATGATAAAGTTTTCATTTCTTTATCACATATTACTATCGGGATTAGACAGATTCGAATCACTTTCATTGCTTTTCATATAGAAGAAATGAGTAATTCGTTGTAACTTATATATCTTTTTTTATCATATGAATATGTAACTAAAGTAAAGCTATTTAAATTCTTACTTTTCAACATTATAATATTCACTTTAAAAACTATTTATTGATTTCGATCAAATATCATGTAAAAACAGTGAATAAACGCAAACAACAAAATCATAGATCTATTAACCTTCACAGTAGTGAAATGTTCTCTGCGTCAGAAGTTCATGAATAATGTTTGCATTAAAAGGCCTATTTCAGTGTTAACAGTAAAGAATTCTACTAATTTGTAAGAAGTACTATGAAGAAGTAGTAGAGGATCATTTCCGATTTGCCGAAGAAAAAAAAAAGTCAAGCGTAATAGGAAAATCTTGATTTTATTGAACTCACATATATTTTCGGGAAAAATATTAAATGTAAATTTCAAGTTTATAACTCTTCCCGCCTCCTCATTATGGAGCTTAGTCATTGAGGACAGCAGGCGTCCAACTCTATTTCCGGAGATTGTTAGAGACAATAACAGATGCAGAGCAGCACTAAAGATAATAATAGTATAGCTTTTGATTTTTTGCGCAGATAACATTTACATTTAAGATGTGAAGGATAATGATGGGTAGTCATGTATTGATTAGCCACAATTGTCATATGATCAACATAAATAAAAAACGTAAACTGATCAAGTTATAAATTAATATCAGTATTTTTGAGCATAACGAGATATATAATGGTGTATCGACGCCTTCTATAGATGTAACGAGCTTATTTGCCAATTAAATCAATGGTAGAATAATAATAATAATATTAAATTAAGCAGAAACTAGAGCGCCAGTAAAAATTAGAAAAAAGTTCTGTTCGACAAGCAGTCATAAATAAGATGGATCACTTCTCTGACAATCGATTATCTTAGAAAAGAACTATAGCCTGCAAGGAATTTTTCACATTGCTTATTTTGTATTAGTATAATGATGCTATAGAACACATGTAAGTTCCACATGTCAGCCTCAAAAGGATCTACGCTAATTAGCTTTAAAAAAAATGAAACTTTTTTAAAGATTAATTAAAGAATAAAAGTGATTCTCATTATATCAAATTGAAATCATTTTCTAATCTCAATTAATATACAAAAAAAAAAACTTGTCTTTTTGAAAGTCTGTTAAAATCACAAAATATACTTAGAACTTAATCATTTTATCAATATTTCCGCACAATGCATCAATTATTTATGTCATTTTGCCAATCGATTTGCCATCGAGAACACCTTCTTTCATATTCATTTTATTAATATAATTACTTTATTACCGACAAATAGGAAATATCTGTAATAATATACTTGAACAAAGAAAAAAAAAACAAATATTGTATTAGCACACTTAAAAATCAAATTATATACTCAAAACTTACCTAGAAAAAGTTTATTTGCTGAAGAATTTTTAAAATTAATTTTTATTTGAATAAGCGATTTATACACGAATTATATTAATTTCATATCTTTACAGATCTATTCAAAAGCCGGTCAATTTCAATATGTTCTCACTGATGATGATACAAAAACACGACGTAAATAAGAAAAAAAAAACTTTTTACAATTGACATTATTTTAAAATAGAACTTATCTTATTTATTAGGTTATCCGGTAACATGTCTTAAATTTTACGGAAACAAAGACGATGTAAGAGTAGATCATCAAAAAATGTTAGCTGCTACTTGTAAGTGTAATCTACTAAAAAGAATAAAAAAAAAGTTTAATGTCTTTTCAAATAATTTTTATTTTCTATAGATACAGCTGGTTATGTCAAAGTTTGGCATTATCCAACTCAACAATGTGTTTTTACATTCGATGAAAAAGAACGACAACCATTAGCACTTGATTTTAATTGCAATTATACACGTTTATATGTTGCTGGTAAAATATTTTGTTAGAAAAAAAAAGACACATTTGTTTTTAATGTTATATTTTATTTTTTCTTTGAAATCAGGTAGCGATTGTGTAATTAATTGTTATGATTTTGGTACGAAAAAATTACTACGCAAATTACAAGCATCGTATGATTTCCTTTTTTTTTTTTTTGATCAACTCATTAGATTAATTGATTATATCTTTTTTTTGTGATTGAAACAAAAAAACAATAGAGAAAGTCGAGAAAATATGGATGGTCATAAAAATCGTATACATGCTATTCGTTCACATCCTGCTATGGAAACTGTTTTTCTTACGGGTGGTTGGGATGAAACTGTTCATTATTGGGATGAACGTGCACCACATTCACAAAAACATTTTGCTGGTCCACATTTATGTGGTGATGCGTTGGATATTATTGCTGAACATCAAGTTATTTTAACGGGATCTTGGAGAAGAAATTCAACATTACAAGTATGAAAAGATTAAAAAAATAACTTAATTATGTTTAGTAAATTATATATAGATTTGGGATTTTTCGACGGGTGAATTAATTAAAGATGCTTTTCAAAATAATGCAACTTCCATGGTAAATTATGTTTGAATTATTTTTTGGTTTTATTCACTTTTTTTTTTTGTAGCTTTATTGTACGAAATTTTGTCCGAAAGAATATATCTTATGTGCTGGAAATGACAAGAATGAAGCAATTATTTATGATTATTCAATATTACAGGTAATGATATAATATTTAGAAAAATTTAAATTAACTTTATTTTTCTTTTATCATTTGAAAACTGAATAGATGGTTGGTGGTATAACAGATCTTGAAAATGCTGTTTATTGTGCTGATACAGATGTAAATCGACCAAATATGATTGTTGGTTCAGCAAAAAATATTTTTATTGTCAATGATAAATCTCGTCATAGATAAAGAAATGACATTATGTGTTTTCTTAACTCAATTTAAAATGTGTGTCTATCCTATTTTTGAGTGCATTGTTTTCTATTCTTTGACAAATCATCATAATCAATCATTTGAATGGGCCAAAAAAAGCTGAAATACACTAAAGTAACTTTATAATAAAAAAAAAAATCCGTGAAATAAATGCAAAATTCTACTAGAAATAATCAATATAAAGTATTGTATTTTCTTAATTCACAATAAAGTCTTCCTTTATTTCCAGTTCTTATAAGTGATAGATGAGAAAAATGATCAATAAGACAAATTAAAAAAATAATTTTATGTTGTTTTCTATTTCGAGGAAAGTGGGTGTGGATGTAGGTGATGTCGAGAGAAAAACAGTAGAGACGTCAGCCTTGAAGTCTCATACAGTCTTATGAAATGTCAAGAAGTCTTTTGAAGTCTTTAACCCTTTCAGGCCCATGGCTCAGCCAATGGATGAAATTTCTTCGAGACTTTATATTTAATATAGGCAGTGTGTGTTGTCGATATTTTCATCAAAAATTTTTAAAAGCCTTTAAAGTTATTTTCGACCCATTCCCGTACTCCCCTACGGGAATGGCGAAGAAGTATTTTGGTCATCCCCATGTGGGGTACGGGCGTAGATCGAAATTTGATTGAGATCTGTCGCAAAATCAACTTTTGGAATATCACTAGGGGTCACTCCTAACTGGATTCCAGCACGAAAAACTGAGACATATTCGGGATCGCAAAAGAGCCTGGTTCGCCCTTCTAGACATGTACCAACACCGAAACTTTTGGGATTTGGGTTTTGGGTAGTTTGAGACTTTGGGTCAGGCTTTTGGCTTGATAAGTCAGGTCACACCAAAACGTGACCAAAAACGTCAAACCACCCAAAATCCAAATCCTCAAAACCCAAAGTTTCGGTGTTGGCAGATGTCTACACCCTTGTCCTTGTCAGGATAAAGGTAGTGTTCCAGAAATCATCAAGCTTACTACTTAAGTGACCTCGTTAGGGTTATAATTCTTACATAGATATATGCAACGAAGTCTCCTCTACGTCATAAAGAAAGCCGCACCTCGATATCATTTCATGTCCCTAAGATATTCAGAAATTAAGACACCTGAAAAAACCGTACCGTATTTGGCACGGTGGGTCTGAAAGGGTTAAGCTATAGCTTTTAATATACGTTGAAGTCTCATGAAATCTTGAAGCCTGCTGTTTCATCCCATTGGGTGGCGAGAGTATACATCGGGGAAAAATGACACCTATATCCAACTCCACTAAAATATCTTTCTTTTTTTTTTGTTATATTCAATGAAAATGTAATACTGTCAATAATAAATAAAATTTTCTTCATTTAGATTTTACTGATCGAAAGAATTTCCGTTAATGAATGAATCGAAAGGAAGTGGAGGAATTTTTGAAATACATCTCTATAACAAACAAGTTGTATTTGTCCTAGTAGACTTTTATTGAAGTGATAGCTGATATAAAAGAATATCAAAATGATTTTATAATGAATTGATATCTTATCGTGTACAGAATGAATAGGAGTATTTTTCTTTTGAGATGATTTATGAACATACTTTACATTAAGTAGTAATTCTTTTTCAAAGACATATGCAATTAAACTCGAAAGAATAATGAATTTAAATATTAAAATAAAATATAAAGTATTTGAGAAAAAATAATTTATTCGAACATGAGGAAAATCTTCAAATCAACGAAAATAAATTATTTACTAGATAGTAATAAAAATTATTATTATTATTAGCGATTGATTGAAACTATATTTCGACAAAAACAAAAAGGTGCGAAAAATAGTTAAAATTCTCATAGATATAAATATGACGACTAATAATTTAATTGAATTCAATTGTCTTGGTACTATCTTTCTCATTCGAGAAACTTCACTTAATCGTTTCCCAGATACTCTACTCGGTTATATTTATTTTAATATATCACAAGACAAACAATTCATTGTTCTTTTTTTTCTTCTATCTAGGTGATCCAAAGCGTCGTGCTTCTTTATATAACAAAGTAAAACAACAATATATTATTGATCGACATATTGTTTCGTTTGAAGCAATTATTAATTATTATGAAACAGGCAAATTAATTGCACCTACAATTTATGAATCAATTATTCTTTTTGAAGAACTCAAATATTTTCAATTTGATAATGAAACAATTCAATATTTTTATAATACTGAAGTACATGAAGATTTTATTGATAATCATCGTATTGTACCATCAAATCGTATTTTACGAGCTATTTGGATTTCATTAGAATATAATGACTATTCATTCATTACACAAATAGTAAAAGTCTTATTAAAATAAATAAGAATATTTCTAGAATATCTTTTTAGATTCAATTAATTTGTTTAATTATTTCTTTACTCTATTGTTTTAATATTTCTATTGAACTTTTTCCACAATTATCAAGAGAAAAAGTTATCTGTTATAAATTCTCTACTAATCATCATTTAACAAATTGTGATAATATATTTTTTGATTTTCGTCCATCAAAAATTGCAGGTCAATGGATTCTTAAAATTGAACAACGTTTGTTGTTAATGTAATGATTTTATTCTCAATTGATCGTTTGTTTTGCTTTTTGTTGTTTTTTTAAGTATGTACTATTTTTATAACATTGGAATATATTCTTCGTTTTCTAACATCACCTCATAAATGGATAACATTTATTTTATTAATAAATATATGTGATTTATTTACATTATTTGTTAGTTGGATTTATTTAATATTGACTAATATGAATATATCAAATAATGATAAACAAGATCCATTTTTTTATATAAAATTATATCAATATTTAATGCTTTTACGTTTATTTCGATTTTTTCGTCTTTGTCGTTATGTTAAATCATTACGAATTCTTTTTTATGGAATTAAGGATGCATTGAAATATATTCTATCTATTGGTTTTATAATACTATTTTTTGTATTTACATTTGGTGTTATTATACAAATTATTGAAAAAAATTGGGATCATGCTTATGTAACACGTCTTGAAGATTTATTTAATATTGTTACTATATCAACAATAACTGTTGGTGATGCAAAACGTGTACCATTGTCACCAAATGGAAAAATTCTTTGTTCATTTCTTGCTGGAATAGGTAATTCAATTCATATATCGTGGTCCTCAAAAATTGATCATAAACGTAACCAATCGTCTTCTTTCTCTCATATCTCAAGCTGATTGAAACAAAGAGTTGCGGTTTTCACTAAAATGTAGTCCTATTTTCATGGTTTACCAGTTCATTGTGTCAAATATTTACTAAATTTTCCCTACGTATTCAGAGATCCAGGTCTTGTAGAAGAAACCCTCTGTTTATATATGTTTAACCTTTTTTTTTTTCGTCAAAATATTGCTGAATCATGTTCAGTAGAGAATAACAGTTAAGCAAGAATAGAAGAGAAAGTAACGATGTATAACGAGAATATATTTTCCTCGAAGGAAGAAAAGCACTATTATTAGTTAGAATGAAAACGAGAGGACAAAAGAGAGCTATAAATAGTACGAGAGGGAAAGAGGTATTATAGATATTCCTCCTCTTTTTTGGCCATTTCTGGTTCTCGAAGAGTGCACAATCGATCCACACGAAACTTTTACCATAGATAGAGCATTTTAAATAAGCAGCCGCGTATCGAAGGAAAAAATTTTAAACAAGGCTTTCCAGGGAAGCCAGGTTTTTGTAAGATCAGATCGAACTTGTTTACGACCTTCGTCTAACTTTGTCTGATCGGACTAAAAATATTTTTAGAGATATCTTAAACTATATCTTAGAGCTGATTTTTAAGCTATTTCATAAATCTTTATTTTTCTTTTTGTATGAAATAAATACGTGAAAGTATAAGAATTTCATGTGAATCGCTCGTACTCTCTTCGAGAATCAGAAATAGCTAAAAGGAGAGAGGATACCCTTCATATAAAATGTAGTTTGTACCTGGAGTGATATATTATTTGTAAATATACAAAATACGAAGGAACAACATCGTATCCTCTTTTGTAACGGTGAAGATTCAAATTTTGATAATTATGACAGTTGTAATAATGATTCATGTATTGAAATTATTTCGACCATTGATGAATGTCAAAATAAATTAGTATATGTTTATCAACATATCATCAATTGGAATCCGACAACAAGAATGATGATGATAATTACGCAAAAGAATATTATGAAAAGAAATTGATGGTCGACGAAAAAACAATATGAACTCACATTGGTCGTTAAACGTCTTCAGCAACAAAAAATTAACACAGATCAGTTTATGAGAAAGTGAAATTTAATTCCACTTCTTTTGTTTGTATTCTTACTGTGTGTATATGAAACATAATCATAGTGAAGTAGCTAAAATGTAAGAACGATATTCGAGCCTTCATAGACAGGAGTTCATAATAGAAGACTCAAAGTCTTTTATTGTGTGGATGGAGAAGAAGGAGGAGTATGTCAGAATGGAAACACTAAAAATGATGTAAGTTGATATTGCTCAATATTGAGCATATACTATAAGTAACAATATAAAGATATAGTATTATAAAAAAATCTTCCATCTCATCCTTTTAAATGAAAAGCTGAATTGTTTACAATGTCTTGACTAAAAAGCAAGTGAAACTTCTTGAAAACATTAAAAAGTATGTCTGTTCATTAGAAAGCATAAAATGCGAAGGATAATATTCAACCATTTTTGCTTGTAGTGTATGATCAATTTTTGAGCGACATTGAAGTACATAATTTTTAGTATGCCTACTTTAGCATCGTAAATATATGGCATAGTGAGCTTATAAATCATACAAATGAATGTACATTTTAGCGAAAATCGTAACTCTATGAATTTTTACCATTGTGAGATAATGGAAAAAGCAGAATGATCTGTTAGACTTATGATGAATTTCCAGTACCTTTATATGAATAAAAATAATAAATAATGATCTTTGTTTTTTGAAGGACTGATTGGAATTTCTTTACCATTA